TATTGCTCTGTGAAAATGAAGCACGTTGCTGCTGCTATCTGTTAATTATCAATTGGTTTCTGGAAAAACACCATGCTATAAAGACAGTTAAAAAGGTGGTTTGCTGAGGTTTCCCTTCAGAATCCATCCATTTAATCAAGTCACAGCCAGGAAGGATAAAGAAGAGCCTGTGGGGAGCTGATCATCTGAGACAGCGTCAAGATCTTCATCAGTTCCAGCAGTTTAAAATTACAACTTTCCAATTTCAAGGCAGGCTTTAGGATACTCTGAGAATTCCTCTTCCCAAGAGGCTAATGCCTGCCTGGTACTCTTTTTTCATACCACTGCTGGCTTTTAGCAGGTTTAATCCTGCTCCTGTGGAAACCAGGGCAAAACTCTGAAGGAACTGTAACACTGAAGACAGAGATAAACCAAGAAATAACAATAAACAATTAAAAAAAAAAAGAGAGATTACTCATGGACTTAATCTGAGGTAACAGATGAAGCCTGTTACAGGTTTGTAAGATTGTTCACCACCTGCTTCACCTGAGCCAAGGAACAGTGTTTATCCTTTATGGACTTGGCTAAAATAATTATATTGATTGATTTTTAAACCCTTTTTCTAATAAATGGACTAATTCTGTTACAATGCATTTCAGCTTTTATCATGATGATGCAAAATGCTCTCTTTTTGCCATTTGGAAAGAATTAAGACTAGGTAATGCATTTAATTAGAGTAAAACCAAAAAAAGATACTAGGAGAAAGAGCAAAAGAGGCCACATGGATGCATGCAGCAGTTTTCTTGACAATTTTGGGCAATTCTCTTAAAACTGGTAACTGATCCCACACTGTCTGTGCTGCCTTTTCAAAAACTTAAGCACATTTTAACACAAATGCTCTGGTCTGCAGTGACCTGCTGGGATTCAAATCAAACCTAGGGCTGCTGGCTACCAGCCAGGTAAATTCAAACTATGTGACCAGGCCCCTTATACTTTTTATTGCTTCTTTTCAATCCCAGGTTCCTTTAAGAGAAAATCCTTTGCACATCTCCTGAGTACAGTTTGCCTTAGCATAAGAAATGTGCTGTGACACTAAGCTGGTCTAAATCAAGACCAATTCATTGATTTAAGGGAGTGATGCTAATATAAATTATTTGTCTCATGGTTTCTACTATTTGAGATGAAATGGGTCATTGTGCCCTTGCTTTAGGTCTTTCATATCCTCATTTTTACAACAATGTAAGAGCCCAATATTTCCCATCCTGGCACTATGTATTTTATCGTGGCATTTCTCCAGCATTTTCCACTTTGCCTGTGACAAGGCCACGACTGAACTAACCCCACAGCAGAGAGTGAAAGCATTGCTGCTGAAATACCCCCTGACTTCAGCACAGGCTGAGATTCCACATGGATGCTTGGAAGAAATCACTCTTGGCAGCTCCTGTAGTACTTGGTGCCGTTCCCACACCCCCATTCCTGGGCTGATGTAATTAGAGGGCACACAACTGGCTTAAGCTCCTTCCTACAAGCGAGTGCAAATGCTTTATTTAAAGATCAGCCTTGGACTCTTAAAAAAAAGTTAAATTACAAAAGCCTTTTACCTTGACTTTCACCTGGACTGAGAGGTGACCCCTAGAAGTGGCATTAGAATTCCTCACTGCATCTCATTTCTCCTTTGTGTGTACCTGCATTCAGCAATTGCCTTTATCTATAGGAGGAGCACCAAGGAGTCCAACTCCTATGATCCTGTTAGGGTCGGGCAGCTGCTGCTTCCTCAGAAGTCTTTCCAAGGAATGAGAGGGCACAGCCAAGGCAGGAGTAAAGCAGGAATATGACCCTCCAGGAGAAGATTTCTTTGCAAGAGCCAGGCTACTCCAAAGATTCTGCAGAAATCTCTACAGGAGAGCTGGAATGAGCTTGGAAGTTCTCAAGATTTCAAGGGCTGCTACTGCAACAGCAGGAATACAGGATGTCAGGAGTTTTATCCCACAAAACAGGAGCCAGAACTGCCTGACTCATCACAAAACAGGCTTTACCATAGAAATTATAAAACCATGAGTAAGTGAGGAGAACTTTTCTGGGAGTCTGCATTTCTTCCCATCCAGCCAGACAGCTGAGCTAGGACTTCCAGAATATTGAAATTAACTTCACCACACACAGAGAAAGCAATAATTATCTGATTCTTACAGTAGCATATGCAAGGGTAATTACTGGATCTTTTAACTCCAGGCCCTCAAACTCTGACCCACTTCAGGTGGATTTTTGAGAAGCAGCAGCTTTTCATCTCATCCCAATTATGCTGATGCCAATCCCTACTTTATGCTTATAAACACCACCTCATGGGGCAGTAGCCTGAAGATCCTCATGTGCTAAAGTTGCCTTCCTTTGCAGAGTTTCTGTTTTTCACCAGTTCTGCAGATCCCTTGCTGCTACTTCTAGATCTGGTTTTGATTTTAAAAGAGTATGGAAATGTACATGGAGTGAAACTGCATTATTAAGAACTTCATGGCTTTTACAAAATCCCTTTGTTTCTGAATTAGTATTATGGAAACAAACACAAAAGAGCTTATTAAAAAACTCAATTTTTATTATTATTGGTTTTTGATATCTCCTCTCAAAAAGCTCTTTGTTTGATTGGCCACCATTATAATGTCTCCCCTTAAGGTTTCTTCCTATAACTGACAAGATTGAACATGGGGTGAGGAGATGCTTCAAAACTTCTCATTAGATTTCAAAAGAAATCCCTAAAATTAATTATATGACACTATATATCACCACTATATTACACTATATATCACCTTCCTTTTGTTCTCACTGGCAAGAATTATATGTTGAAAACTCAGAATGAAGTAAAAGCATTCAAGGCCCATCCAGGTAAAGTGTTTTATAAGATATGAATGAACAAAAACCAAACTGTCTGAGCAAGAATGGGATTTCCTGGGTGCCCAGAGTCAGCCTAACACTGATCCCACTGACTCCAACTCCAGAAACATGAGGCTGAGGGGGAATGCTTTGGAAATCCTACCACAACATGCAAATTTTGTGTGACAAACATATAACGGACCTCCATCAAAACCAGGATGAAGGAATATATTCTGCATTTCTAGGCCTGAAGGAAAGAGCTTTTCTGTGCTGAAAAGAAAGGAACAGAAAGGAAATTTGGCTAGCTAAATTGGAGAGAGGGGTGGATTTTTGTTTGTTTGTAATTGGCAACATTTTTAAATGAAGGAATCTGGAGAATATTAACAGTTATGGCTAAATCCGTGCTGAAAATATTTTTGTCATTTTAGAGCCAAAAATAGCCTCTTGCCAAAACCTGTAAAATGCTTTTGAAACAAGGAAAAGAACAAAAAAAAAACACCTTCCAAATGGAATTCGCAAGTCTCATGGGCAGGCAATCATCAGCTCCAATTAGTCCCTGGCAGGGGAGCGTGAGGAAGAGTGATGGACTCAGTGCATCCAAAAATGTTTAGTCTAGACTAAACCACGCTGGAATCCTCCGCAGACCAGACCTCAGCCCTCTGGATCCCTGACAGCCATCTCTACCAGCCACAAACAACAACACAGCCTGGATCCCATTCCAGGCTTCCCTCCTACCTCTCCTTATCTAGTCCTAGTGCAGTTCCCCCTCCCAAATCCACAGGCACTCAGGTAAAAAGCTGTTGATTGCTGCAAGTATTGGACGCCTGGTTAATGACTGTAGGTAATGCTCCCCCAGTCATCTGTACAGTGAGCATGCGAGCCAAACCCAAAATAATAAACCCAGAGAAACATGTTCATCTGCCTGACAGCAGCCAGAAGCCACTACTGCCAAAGAGAAAAGAGTCTGGAGCTGCTCTTTCTTAAACGTTGTCAGCACAATTAATTCTGCAATATGCTCTGAAAATGTGGAGCGTGGCCCATCTGTCCCAGCTCCTCGTGTGTATTTAATGATCGGTGAGTGGGCTGGAATATGAACTCGGTGTTTCATCTCCAAGCCCAGCTGCCCCGCACAGAGGATGCAGCCACTAGTGAAGAATTCCCTCCTTTCCCAAACTCAATCCTAAACGGCATCTCCAATAGAAAAGGAAGTCACCGACCCACGGACTCCTTTGTCACCATCCCATCATCGCAATCAAGTAAGATTGCAGTATTATTTTTCTTTCTTTATACTAGAAATTGGCCACTGGCATTAGCAGAGATAACCCGGTACTTCCCTGGAATCCAGAGAGCTGCACCCATTCCTCTAGCAAAGCAGGAAAGTGACAGACATTTACATTAACCTGTAGATTGAGCCACAGGAACTGAGGGGGCTGAGACCTGACCTCACCTGTCCAGAGGTGAGCTGTTACATCCAGCTCTCATCCACAATGGTCCAAGACTCGGAATCCTATTTTTCCAATCAATTCCAACAAGAGCTCAGTCTGCTAAATAATGCCAGGCTGACATCTTACACATCAGCAGGACCATGCACTCAACAAAATGGGCAGAACCTTCTTGTAGAAGGTGTAAGGAAGAATACAATAGGTCACACAAATTCTCAACATCTGTCACTCAGACTTCTGGCAAACAGGTTGGCACCTTTGATAGAGCAAGATTAGACCACGACTGAGGATTTGGGAATTAAAAAAAAAAGGGTAGTTAAAATAATGTTCACTGGATGCACATAATTCATTGCAGTTACACCACACCATGAATTTAATCTGTGATGATTTCACAAGATTACACATGAAAGAAGTTAGATAATTATATAGATAATATATATATGGTATAGAAATATATAAACCCCCATAATATGTAGATAATAAATCAAACAAATAATATATATTAAATATTTTTATTTGCTTTTATGCTATACCTTTATTATACTTTGCCTCAAAGACAATGTTTGCCTGCTTACGAGAAGTTCAATACCTGTATGTGCATTCCAAGCTTTCCAAACTGAGACTTTGATGAGTGATAAAATTTGCTGGTTAAACAAACCCTGACTCCCATTTCAGCACATCATGGACACATTTATTTCACTTACTGGATGCCCTTACCTGCTTCCATTACAAGGTGTCACCAGGTGGACCAGGAATTGTGGTTAATTGAGGAGCCACCTCTAATCGCAGGATCTCAGCAGCCACCCACTGCTGTGGCTGGTGTAGCCAGAACAGATGTTTACAGAGATTCTCCTGGGATTTAAGAGTCCTTTCAGGGAAAAAAAAGAGAAGTACATCTTGAAGCAATCAGGCAAAGGATTGTAATTCTAATTTAAAGATAGACTTCATTTGCCAATGGTTATCAGTTAAACAAACTTTCCTAAGGAAACAATGCCTAGTTTTCTTGGCTTTACAGGTTTATCCTCTTGCTTTAGGCCAGAACAGCTTCCATAGGCTGCTGCTCTCCCATTTTTGGGATACACCGCCTTCTTTTCTGTACTGCTGCCCTGCCCTGGCCTCTGCTCACACCTACCCCCCACATGACCTTCAGAGAATATCTTGTACCTTAAAGCTCTAGAAATAATGCAAGTTCAGAGGGCCCCTTGGAGCCTGTTCCATAAACACTGGACTGAGCATTATTCAGCATTATTCCTGTCTGAACTTAAAAAGAGAGAGAAAAGAGGTCTCATGGAATCGGAATTCTCCAAGCTCTGTCCAGTAGAACCCACTCTGAGGATGTACACAAAGTTCAAATGAATTAAGAACCCGAGTTCATGTTCTCCTGAAAAGCCAAACCAAAATGACAAAAAGCCCCTTTGAAGCCTGAAGGAATGTAGGAAACCAGAAAGGCTACTCCTGTTATGCTTCCAAGGTTGTCAAAACCAGGAGCTGTGAGAAATCTTGTTCACCAGCAATTTCCAGCATGATTTCTCACTGAATAAATTTAATCCAGAGGCAGTTCCTAAATTATAGCTTGATAAAACATCTGTAACAAACATAAAAATAACTTAAAATCTGCCATAAGCTTTAGAATTACATTTTCCATGGAGCAGCTGGAATGTCTGGGGCAGCATGAGTACACTTTCTTGTGGAGTGTCTACAAAGCAGATTAAAGATTGGCCACACATCCTTCAGCCAAGGTTTGGGATTTGCTGGATCTCTGCAGTAATATCAGGAATGACATGTCATGTTGCCAAAATCCAGAGTCCTACAGGAGAAGGGATGGGCCGTAGTAGTCTCTGTTTGAACCCCTGTAAATAACAGTTCTCTTTTCATGCAGACCATGGAGCTTTAAAAATGCAAGAGGAGAAAACAGAGGTTTTCTCTCCAATCCTGTCAGAGCTGTGGTCCTGCTCAAGGTCAGACTTACCACATCCCCAGCCAACCTACATTCGTATGCCATCAGGAACAACTGACTATCATATTCCCATCATACTTCCCAAAGTAGACAAAGAGCCTGACTTACTCCTCTCTTCACCCAGTACAGAAACATCCTTGCAGAGAGGTTTGGTTAAAGGCCAGTCCTTACAGACTTGGAAAAAAAACCCCAACAAATGAAGAGCCATTATCTGACTCCAACCACAGGAACATCTGAATGCTAAACATGGTGAAAAGGGGCATCTTAATAACAAAACCATCTGCTTTTTATAAAGTGAGGTTTTGTGCCAGCAGTGCAGGAAAGGAGTGAACACTATGGCAGTGCTACCAGTTCTGTGGGGATTATGGAGGTCCTAAATTCTCCAAGGAAAGCCATGCTATAAGCCCTTTATTTTTTGACTTGGAGCAACCTGGTCTAGTGGAAGGTGTCCCCAGCCTGGGCAGGGCCTTGGAACAAGAGGGGCTTTAAGGTCCCTCCCAACTCCAATCATTTCAGGTTCTATGACTTGAAGCAGCCTGGCTTTAAGCAAACCCAGCGGCAGTTCCTTCTGACCACCTACAGCAGGTGAAACCTCACTGCCTTGCTTTCCATGTCCTCCACCAGGGATAAATCCATCAGAGGGAACAGTGCATTGGAAGCCGTAGGAACCCAACAACATCGTATTTCCTTTCAACAGATTCTGGATAGATTTCCTTTGGAAAATGAAGATTCCAACTAAAAGGGATAAACAGCACTGGAAACACACCCTTGGCATCACTAACAGCCCTGGGATCAACAGGGGAATGAGTTCAGTGAGGTTATTCCAAGCCAAACTTTGGCCAGGGATGCCAAAAGAACATACAACAGGATCCAACAGGAATCTCTGCCATCGAGGCCTTGGGTTTCCCAAGGACAAGGACAAGCCTGTCATTTAAGGTACCAAAACATAAAGCCCTTCCTGTCTGCCATGCAACTGCCACACATATGGAAACCTGGGACATAGTGCCTCCAAAATCCAGCACCACTCTCCAGACTGAGAATAAACACCCCCAGACGCAGAAGCCTTAATAATTTCTAAAATATGAAAGTATAACTTCATTTCCTCTGTTCTGCTTAATTCTGTTCTCTGTATATAGTGGAAAAGGTCAGAGAAAATGAGATTTCATTCAGGGAACTGATTCATTCTCACAGAGTGTTTTACAGAATGGGGCAGAAAAAGATGGAAATGGATATTCCCAGAGGACAGTGATGTAATATTCTTGCACACACTGATGAGTATCTCAAGAATCCAGTCCTTAGGAAGAAATATTTACTTTTTTCTGGTTAAACTGAAGTGGTTACTCTTTTGAGGACTACGAGATCCATCCTTTAAAATGACATTGCTTTCATGTTGACTTTTTTTCTCCTTTTAAAGCAAAAAATGCAAAATAAATGCTTAATGTCTGTTGGACTTAATAACCTCATTATTTGCAGGATTTCCTGCGTTCACCAGCACATTTCTGAATCTGTGTCTGCCACTCCATACTAACCCTGGCCCGCCTTGCCTCAGAGGTATCCCACTGTGCTCACACACCTTTGTTGCAGTCCTGAAGACCACCTGATCACCTACCCTGGGGGCAAGAATTTAAAAAAAAAAAAAAAGTGCTTTGTTTCCTAAGAAGCATTTATTTCACACAGGGGAACTTAGGATGTGGATTCCCTGTAGAAGGAGAATTTAATTTACAACAAGCCAGTTTAGATGAAATCAGGACGCTCTGTATTCCTTTGTGGAAAGAGGTGAGAAAAATGGTTAATCAAATTTAGAGTTGGAATTGAATTCTTGAAGTTCTGATATATGTTGTCAAAATTGGCAAAAGTATTAGACCCTGCTAATTCCTCCCATTCCTTAATTTACGTGGGCACGATAAACTGCTATTGTATTTTGTTCCTGTGACTGTGAACTTCAGAACGACTCGAGCAAACAAGGTGCTCAGAGCGGGGCGAGCTCTGCCAGCTGAGGGCTCACAGGGATTCTCCCAGCAGCAGCACTGTCCACAGCCTTGGTGCCAAAGCTCCTTGACTGGTCTGGATACAGCTCTTCAAGCATTTCAGGGAATGCCTTCTGAGCTCAAAGCGAGAGAAGAGTCAGATTTAAATTGGTTTGATTTGCTGGTATGGCTGCTGGCAGACAAAAATGCTGGCACACCTGCAGAAGCACTCACCTCCCTAAAACTGGGACATTTCCAACTCATGGTGTTCATTCAGAGGATATGCTGCACGTTCCCATTCAAAGCCCAAAAGATGGGCAAGTGTAACAGTAAAATGTTGAAGTTTCTGTATGGAGAGACTAAAGGACACTGGAAAAGCTGACAAATGAAAGCAGTTTGTCCTCAGGTTTGCCTCCACGCTGCCACCCCTTTCCAGGAACTCCGGCGTGTTGTAATAGAAGGAGATGAAGGAAAAACCTGGATGAATAAAAAACCCAACCAACTAATAAAAAAACCCCACCTCAGCCAACCACCCAGCACAATAAAAGAAGAGCCTTCCTTCTGCTTCTCCTGACAATTCCATAAGGAAGCAGCCAGTCTATCGCATATCCTGCTCTCGGAAGTCTCCCATCTCCCACACTGTGAGATCCATGGCCACTTTTGCCTCTTTTAATGCAGCAGCAGATCAGAAAAGATTATCACAATGTTGCCTTTTGGCCTCTTCTCCTAAATATAGAAAAAAACCTGGACATTTTCAGGAATGTCAGTCGCAAAGAGAAAAAGTCATTTCCTCCCTGATAACCTGCAGTTGAAGCCTGAGGTGATCACAGTGATTACAGATCTGCCTGGAAAATGGATATGCCCACACTTTCTGGGAGAATTCCTTCCCTTTTAATTTGGTAGGAGGAGACTCAAATCACAAAAAAATGAACCAGTTTTGTATTTCTGAATATAGTTCCAGAAATTCTGGTATTTCTGAAAATAACCACGTAGCATTTATTTTGTGGTTTCTAAAAAAAGAAAAAAAAAAGTCTTAATTTATAGTTGTTAAATTTATGTACAAATACAACTAAGAACAACAAAATTGCTCCATCCAAATGACAGGGAAAACAAAGGGAAATGCTTAATTGAAAAACGCCAGTTATTTCAAATCAGATGAGGTGCTTTCAAACAACTTCGGGGTTTGTGGAGTTTTTGTCTCTACAAGCCTCTAAGATGGGAGGTTTGTCTGTGGTGTAACTCCCTGCAAGCCAGATTTAGCTGCGAGAAATCCATGGAGTTTAGTTGCTTATCTTAGATTGTCCAGACTTTAATGGCCTGGAAACACAGAGAGCAGTTTTGCAAGATCAGGTTTTTCAAAAATTCCAGTATTGGTTGTGTTTCAAGCTGGCTGGAAATCCCTCCAGCACAGATTCTTTTACACTGGTTTAATAGTTTGAGTTTGAGCTGAAATCTGGAATTTTAAAAGCATATTGCAGGCTTCTGAAATTTCTGCTCGAGAATCAGAAAGCACTTGGATTTGGGTGTGATTTGAGCGGTGACAAAAACATACAAAACGCAGCCATTTCCCAGTATTTTTCCCTGTCACTTTGCTTCCAAGCTCTGCTTCAGGAGGGAAGAATTTACCTTAATGCTGTGATGCCATTTCCCACCATAAATACTGGAAATGTGTCAGACCCCAAGACCTGTCAGCAGAGTGACAACATTTTAAGGGTAGGTCTGAAAAAACTGACAGTTCTCAATGTAAAACCTCTTTAGGTATCCTTAACAGCTTTTTGCCCATATACAGGATTGTACTGGGTCAGAAGAAATATTTGGAAATGATAAAGTTATACACAAACAGAATCCCAGATCATGGGTTTTTCATGATGTATGGAAAACTAAACCAGAGTATTTTTGACTTAGACTCCTCAAAAATCCAGCAGCAACCAAAAGTGTCCAGCAACAAAGAATCCGAGTAGTCTCTTTGCTGCAAAAATATGAATTAATAGGCTTTCCTGAGCAGGCAGAACTGCATTTCAACACAACAGCTAAAATTTTACTGTACCTTCGGAAAAAAAGGGCTTCAGTTTCACGAGGTTACAGGCCAGCTCCTTTCATCTCTGACCCAGAAGGCACAACTCCACTGTGGGGTAGCTTCCAGAAAAAACTGCAGAGGGAAGAAATCAATCCATCGGGATTCCAGGAAAACACACTTGATTCAGTAAACAGCACTGTCTGCAAGCCTCCTTTGTACTGATGGAGCTCTGCTCCGAGGAGACGCACAAGTTACATGTGCACATACCAGGAGAAGCATTGGAGGAACGTGCCAGACTGTGTTAGGAAATATGGCTGAGACCATTCTTTAATTATAAGAGCCATCTTTTAACCCCCCTTGCAGCACAGAACATCCAGGGTATAATGCACATCCTGGGCATAATCCCTCCCCCTGCTTCTCTTCTCTCGGGGCCTCTGAGGATGTGACAACAGAAAGAGTGAGCAGGAGCGAAGGCAGGGCTTGTGGTGAGGCATCCCAGCAATCCCAGCAAAAACCAGGCCCTCGAGACACGCTTCTTTGGGCAATTTCAGGACCACTATAATATCTGTGTAAAGCAGGACAAGATGGACTGTGCAACAATCGCAGAACCCATTTGAAAAATCCACTGCTGTGTAAGGGAACACCGAAGTGCCAATAAAGTAAACACTAAGTTGCTAATTAAAGTCATTAGTTTAGAATATTTAAGGTAAGTATTTTAGAACATCAGATCATTTCTCCAGACTTTGTTCTACTGTCATTTAAAACTTCCTGTCAGCTGAGTTTTTAAATGTCTTTCTGGGGAGAAAAGTTCAGACTGCTTGGGATCACAAGACAGAAGGGCCAGTGCTCATATAAAAGAGGGTTAGTGAGATTTGAAGTCTTCCCTAAGTATTCCCTGAGGCTGGATTTTATTGTGTTTAAAACAATGCTATCCATTAGCCTCTCGTTTGGCAATATAGACTGGGGCTGGGTGGCAAACAAAGGGCTGATGACTGAAAACACTTCAGACCCAGTGGACAGTCAGCCCATCCCCACGGAACCAGGCCCTCCCTAGCACTGTCGGCACAGCTTTCCACAGGAATGCAGGTACTGTTTATTCAGGGCAGTGAAAGGAGCCCAGTCCACACCTTCCATGGTGCCTGGCAGCTGCTGGAAAGCACCCCAATATCACCTCTCGCTGCTGCAAATGGCCAGAGAACACAGCAGCAATGTAAACAAACCATCCTTGAAAAGCTCCCCAAAACGCAGCAAAAATAAAAAAAATAAAATCATTCTTTTAATGCACAAACTGGTGCCAATCCACAAGAGTTCCCCTTTCAGCAGCTGCCAGGATAAATTTCCCCTTTGGGCAGACGGTCCGAAACCTGAGCCCGTCGTCCATGAGAATGTGCAGCTTGACTTGAGCGCACAGGGAAAAAAAACCCGGGGAATTCTGCCCAGGGAAATTAATCATTCTCAGCACCTCTGCAGATCCAGTCTGTCCCTTCAGCCCTGACCTACATACTGCACACACGGCGCTTCAAAACAATCTGACATTTAAATCAAAACTGCCCAGCTTCCCGCTCCCTCCCTTCATTCCCACTGGACAAACGGTTGACTGGCTACCCTTGGAATAACTTACTTAGTGGTGCCCCAGGACATTCATGGTCTCCACTGGATTTTTTGCACCCCAAGATTGTCCTGAACTGCACATTAGAGCTGTCACCCAGTGTGGAGTTTGTTACACACCAACTGGGTTTCAAAGCATAAAGGAAAGGTGGTGGGCAATGGACAGGGAATATTTAAACATAATCCCAGAGTCATGGAATGGTCTGGAGTGGGACTGTCAGGAATCACCCAGTTTTACCCAGCTGCCATGGACAGGGAACCTTTCATCAGAGCAAGCCTCAAACAAAGCAGTGCTGTCACACCCACCTGCTTTCTTGGAGCTTCCTTGTGAGAAGGGGTTGCTCAGAGAAGAACTTCACTGTGCAGAACCTCTGCAAAATCAAACGAATTTTCCAGTTAAGGCAGAGCAAAGCACATTCAGGAAAGCTTTTGTCATGAATAAGTCGAAACACAACGGGCACAGACCAAGGTAAACGAAGTGAACAGAAATGGGAGCTTTTATTGCAAAGAATGACAAGCATCAGAATATGGTTATTTTAATTTTCTGTTTACTTAAGACAGTAAAACTTAACACATTTACATTTCCCACTATGCCCACATGCATTATGAAACAAACATCATCCCAGCATTAGTGGGAGAAAGGTCCACTCCTGGGAAATCACTTCTGCCTCCTTTCAAATAGTTAACTGCCAAATCCATAAGGCTGAAGCCTGTAAAAATGGGATGGAGCAAACAGTAAAACATCATGGAAGTGTAAGTGTTCAATCAGGAACAACTCCAGCCAATGTGGCTGTGATTTCATGCTTTTCTACTGTAAAAAAGAGGAGCCCGTCCCCATTTCATAACTCCAGGGGGAACAAGTCCCACATTTTCAGGATTGCCCGGAGCCGTAAGGGAATCACACCTCACCTGAGGCACTCAACAGGCAAGGGAAGCTCCTGGACTAGCTGGTGTACTGAGAGGAAGGAGAGAATCCAAGAAATTGCAGTGTCTGTCCAATGCTCTGATCACTCACCCTCTCCCTCCTCTCAGTAATCATTTTATTCTTACACTGCTGCTCTGGGATTTCTTATGGAATAATGCCTATTCCTTTAACTTGCAGAGATAATGACTAATGGGCACAATTTCCTGTACCTAAGGAGGCAGTTTCTTTTCCTGTGCCACACTCCTCTCCCCCAAAAGGAAAGCATTAATTGAAGCCCCAGCAGTCAGAGCAGGAGTAAGGTTTTCCAACACTGTTCCGTTCTCTTTGTTTCAGCACTATTGGAACAGAGTGTGGCACACTCAGGGTGCAACCCTCGGATTTACTGTTGCCCTCCCCCCCATTCTGTGCCACGAGGAACAGCCCACGGCTACCCTGGGGTGGAGATGTGCTCACCCACACCTGGCTGCTGACACGTTCCCGAGCGGCACAGATTGTTCCAAAGGGATGCAGTGCCTCTCCTTGACCGCGGGATCCCACTGAAATTGCTGTAGTCACACAAACAGGGACCTTGCAGATAAAGCCTGGAAAATGAACAACAGCCTATGTGCAATGTTTTCTATTAAATACCTGAGGAGGAAAGTGTAATAAAATGAAAATTCTATAAAAAGTTGTGATTTTAATAGCCCCAGTTACTAAGTTCAGTTTTCTGGAGACTTGGCAGACTTTCCTGGAATGGACTGGGATATCTGAAACCTCTTTTGTTCTCTTTTTCAGTTTTTTTTTAGCGTAACTATTTGCAACCGTCAATGAGTAGTGGCAAAATATGACATTTGGAATTAACCCTGAAATCCTGGAATTGTCCAGTGACCAAAAAAAACCAAAGCAGAATGCCTCAGTCTTCAAGCAGAGTATCTTTAATCCTCTTTTAATAACTGGGTTTCACTTTGTTAACATTTTATATTCTATCAACCTCTCGATGGCTGACACGCTCAAAGAGCACGAGGGAAAGGGTTTTTACTTCAGTATTTCACAAGAATTTTATATGGGCTGTGAAGTGTTCTTGCAATCTACATCAAAACATTTGTGTGTTTTCATTCCAATGGAATCTGCATTAATATCTTTCCTTAATTACAAATTATCTGCTCATTGCAGGGAGTCCAAGTGCTTTGGAGGCTACAAACCCAGAGCATTTTGATTTTAATAAAAATAATAAAATTTACACAGTGCCCCTGCTATTTTTTTTCCAGCCATCAGATGTCTGGACTGACTGCACATTCCAGCACTCTGGAAAGGAGATTCTGCCTCATGTAATAGCTAAAGGAATGTTCCAGTGTCACTGCTGGGGAGGATGCAGAGGGCTGAATGCATTTAAAAAACAACTTGAAAAACCTACTCTGTGTATTTTTTTATGAAGTCACCTAAAAACCTTGTGTTTCCTGGGTATGTTTTAATCTCCAGGCAACACAGTTCTGCTCTGCCTAAGACAGATCCCTGGGTATTTCAATCCACATCATGCTGCTCAGGCAGCCAAATGGCAGGGAACAGAGTCCAAAACCAGCCTCAATCCACACAATTTGAAGTTTGCCCATCACCAAAACATGTAAATATAATGGGATACAAACTCTGCCCTCACTCACCTGACATTAGATATTCCTGCTCCATCTAGTACACCTATTTTTAACCAACTTTCTATTGAAACAAGTTTCTCATCAATAGCAAAATGTAGTAAAATGTGCAAAAAAAAGGCTAAAAATCTGAGTATCTGTTGCTTAAACTGCGAAATACCAGGATTTTTGTTGTATTTGGGTTTTATCAGTTTCTGTCACCTTTAAATGCCAAAATCAATGTAAATTGTCTGTTAAGTGCAGCAGTTGTAATAGACCAACTCATTTTATCCTCAGTAGAAATGCACAAGAGGACCAGAGACTTTTTCAAGAGACCTATGTAGTCTATGAGCAATGAAAGCAAGACGTTGTTCATGGGATTTAATAAGGCTCTGTAGAAATTATAAAACCTTGACAAATCAAACAATTGCTTAGATGGTGCCAGGTTTGAACAACATCCCACCACACCCTCTCCTAAGGATGCCACTTCCTATTAAATTTGCCCCAGCAATGACCACGTGCAGGAAAGGTTATCAATGTCTCTGAATGCTAAAACCTTTCTCAAATGAGAAACCCTAAGGGAACATGTTCTAAACTGAGGGGAAGCCATTTCTTAGGGAGGGTAAGATTGTAAATGTACTGTATGATGTCTCAGAGCATCTTTGCAAATAGCCTAAAGCCATGAGGGTCTAAGGACACGCTCTTGAGGGGCAGACAACACTTTGCCCACATCTGATCTGCCATCCCAGCTCCTGCTTCCCTGGGATCAATGGCAAGAATGCCAGAGAAAATCAAGACTGCAGGCAGCTTGCATGTTTGCCATCATTTTGATAAAAAAACAGTCCAAATGAAATACAAATAAAGGGATTCTGTGTAGAAATGTCTCCCAAGCACAACACTCCCAAAGACTTGGGGTATCAGGAAAGGAGGTGCCAGTCCCACCTTTGCTGGGACGGTGTCCTGTGTAAGGAACATGAAGATTCAAAGTCTACAAATGTCACTCTGGGGCTTTATGGCAAATTATTAACTGGTTTGGTGAATAATGCTGAAATTCTAATGTAGCAGAAAACCAAAGTATTTGTATTAATTTATACGTAATTCCATTTCTCCCTTAAGGGTATAATGTGTGACTGTAAAGCACTTCTGCAAGTCCTCCCCAGCTCCCAGCTCTGTCCCACCTCCATCATTTATCCCAAGCCCAAGCACTGAGGCGTGTGCACAGGCCACAGACACACACACGGAGCAGGAATCAGCTCTGCCCCAGTTTTCCTCCCATTCCAGCAGCCAGGATGAGGCTCCACACAATCTGGCTGTGCTTGGCTGCATGGTGCCACCTGGGCTGGCCCAGTGTGCACTGGGCTAGGAAAATAGCAGGATCACATTTTCCAGCTTCATTCCAGCTGATCCCAAGAGCAGCAAAGTTTCCACATAAAGCAAATGGCACTTTTTCTTTGTATCCTGCCAGTCCTTGCAAATGGCACAGCTGAGAGCAGGGGTGTTTAAGTGATGAGAGTCATTCTGAATAGAAAGGAATCATTTGCTATAGACCTTGTAACATTTTACCTCAGACTGGTGTCACTCTCAGGATAAACAGATACATAAATAACAAGAAACAAATAAATATACAAGTCATTTGCATGAAAGAAGCTTCCATTTTTTTCACAGTCGAAGGCTGACAACGAAACTACTCTTTATAAAATAAGAGGTATTTTTCCTGTATACCTGAGAGAAATCAATAGGAAGAAATAAAGACCAGCCCCACAGTACCTAGTATTAACAGAATGTCTTATTCCTTCACCCTATAAAGGTCATATTCCCAACAAACCTTGAACTTCAAGTTGACTGGTCTTGTGGGTTTGACTGGAGTTGTGGAGGTTCAGGAAGCTTAGGGATTTTTATTTTAAACAGTGTTTAAAGCAGCCATACATCCTATGGAAGAGGGGGAAGATGGCTGACCCAGGGTGAGATAGCACTGCTTTTCATCACGTTTAATTGCCTAAGAACATCTTGCACTTATCAAACGGAGAGGCGAGGGAGAGGTCACACCTGCGCTCTCCTGTCTGTTTTTCCAGAAGACTCCTACTTTCTCTCCCAAAGCACTGTGCAGTCCCACTTTGCTGCTGGCTTCCAGTCCCAGCAACTGCCCCAAAGAAGGGCTTGCTGAGAGTGGGCAGCACAAGGGGAAGTACCACCAGTCACATCATTCCTGCTGTGCCCATGAGGATGCCATCCCGGATATACAGTCAGGAATATACCAGCTGGGAGTTTTTGGGGTGAAATCTGCTACACAGAGGCACACTACCATGGCCAGCGTTTCATTTCAAATGGAACGTATTTGTCTAAGAAATAACTGAGGCACTGGGGAACGCTGGAATTAAGTCAGAACATGAGATTCATGGAATGTTTGCCAATCCTAGTAGCAATCCGAGGGAGGGCCAGGTTTGGCATCTAAAAGGATTGTTTTTCACTCCGATAATAGCAGTGAAAATGAAAATTGGTCCATCAAGTCCAAAACTGGCAATGGATCCCATGGCCCTGGGACTGAGACTTCTTCATGGTCTGTGAATGCAACACATGCTGGAAAAAGGCAAACAATTGACATTTGATCCCATCTCTGGGTCTGACGCAAAAAATTAGAGGCCTCCCATGTGGATCTTGTTTGGAAAGATAGAAGGGAAGGCAGAGGATTGAAAAACTAGGTACAAACAGTGCTGTGCCCCATTTAGAGAGAGAGACGTAGTCCAAATTCACAATGGATTTACAGTTCATGCTGAACACTGGTTGCACCAGAAAACACGGAAAGAGAAGAACACAACAAGAATTTGGGTCCTGAACACCATCCTGCTACAGATTGGATCAGGTTCCCTGCGTTTGCAACATGTGAAAGCAAACTACAGAAAATAAAATCCAGGTATGAGAAACGGTATCTGTTTTCTATCGGAGAGCCAACCAATGCCTGTCACAGGAGCTTGTCAGCATTGCCAGGAACTGAAATTAGGGCCATTTGTAACTATTTATAAATCTAAGTTTCACAGACACAAGTTTGAAGGGATTCCTGCGTAGGGACAAGGACCTTTATGAGGACAGCCCAAGAAGCTCTTGCCTGCAGGTGACACATGATAACTGTTGCTATGGACATTCTCATTCCATTACATCAATTTTTAAAAAAAAGGTGAATACTTTACCACAAAGGCTCACGGACACTGCAGCCACATCGACTGGACTGCATTCAATTTCCAGGCTGGAGGCAGCCAGGCTTCTCTCTTCCATCTTTGATCTCCTTCAGACAGCTGGAACCTGCCTGTGAAGCGCAATGACACGTGAGATACGGTTGTCACCGACAGTTCTCTCTTTTGATCTTGGTGACCTAAGACAAGACTGAAGTGGGTGCTGCCAATGCTACAAACAACGTTTTGATCCTGTTTTTCTCTTACAAAGTCAGGGCAATGCTAGATTCCAAAGGCATGGGGCCTTGTCCAACCCTACATTCCCTGGGAGATAAGGAAGGCATTGACTTCGGCTGAGAATATACAGATGGAACTGCCCAGATGCTTCAGCCAAGAGAGCACAAACGAGACAGAACCGAGTTCTGTTTGTCCATTCACACCCCTGCACTGGAAAACTCCCTATCCAGACACACTGCCTATTAACCTGGAACAGACAACTATGACCTGAGCATCATTTCAGCATTCAAGCAGGGACACAGCACAAATGATTTACAAAATGAGCTTAATGAAGATATGCGTTGGGTCACAGCTGCTGCTCAGACCAGACTGGAAGGAATCCAAACACCAGGAGGAAGTGAGAGCATTAGGAAATTAGAAGGGGAGATCAAGAGCTGGCTTCTGTAAAGAAATCTCATCTTAGAAATCCAAAATATTTAATCCCAACCACCGATGACTCTTCCAGACCAGTGGAAGAACACCTGGAGTCTCTGCAGAGCAGCAAAGCCCCACCACAAGTTTTGTGTGTCCTTGAACTGAGGCAGCAAATAACAGGAGTGCTCGTGCTCCTGATGACTGCTCGTGTTATCCACAAAATTAAGAGAGTTTTTGGAGTGAGGAGGAATATTGGTGACTGAAATTTGTACAGATGGAACATGGCCTGTCGTGTGGGGGAGAATTGGGGACAATCTTATTAGACATAATAGGACTTTATTCATTATGGATGAAAAGATTCAGCTCTTACCATTATACGAGAGGATCAGTGCAGCTGTGGTTTAACCAAACTCACAAGAGGGTGCATGAAGCTACCGAGACAAACTAGACAGCAAATTTCCAAAAGCTGCTGGAATATTTAAGATTCCATCTCGTCTGGTTGATGCCTGTAAAACATAAATGCAATTTCCATTATGAGAAGCAATAAATATCAAACTGTTGCTGGCTTATATAAGAATTATTGGGGCTATCAATCCGTATCATCCAGGGATAAGCTGCTCACCAGCTGGGATCAGGAAGAAATCCCCTCTGCTCCAAGCCCACCATGGCTATAGTGTTGGATAATTAACAGGATATTGAGGAAAGGCAGATTAACACCTTGCTTTAAAGCATCCAGAAGTGGGATATTAGGCCAGATGGTCAATTATCTGTTCTACTAATGCAACTCTTCTACTCTTAAAAAAAATACACCATTGCTCAACAGAAATTCCCAATTATTCCTGGGTTTGGTGCCATATGAATCACCAACCACTTGAACCACTGACATATCAGCATTTTTACTACAATCTGTGGCTCCTGGGACGTCTCTAAGTCAGGATCTCTCCTGCCAGCCTCACTAATCACCACTGCAAATCAGGGAGCAGCCACCTCTGACTGCCGTGGCAAAGCCATAAACAGATTCCTGAGGCCCCAGGATGCAGAGCCGTGGTCCGAGGCCTCCTGAGCTGTGTGTGGCTGACAGCACGCTGCTGCCATTCTGCTCCGAAGCCAGGGCCGCAGCCGTCTGACACAGAACGGTCACCTATTCTTTGAGATGAGATGCTCACGTCAAAGAACTTAGAGAGAAAAAGAGACAGCAAGTATTCAGCCCACATGGAATTATTTTGGCAACAAAACGGATGAAGAAAAGCACAATAAAAATGCTGAAAAGGACTTTTCCAAATGTTTCTTTGAACGAATTTGTACACAGCCAAGAGCTGCTGGTCCCACACCAGACTCTTGGGCCAATCTTTTCTTTTTTCCTTTTCATTTTCTAAAGATTTTATTGGTACCCTTAAATTTTCAAGGTTTTTATAGGCGGAGAGAATGTCCTGCCAATTACTTTTCCTCTACAACTCTGCAAGGTTTGTTTTCAGTGTTTTACCATTATTTTTTAGTATTCTAGGGTTTTGAATGGTACTAAAACTATGTTCATTAAGACTCTGTTTTACTTTAATTCTGTATAAAATGGGACAAGAGTTTCCAAGTTACATTTGCTTCTAGGAAAATTATTTTCTTTTCCTTAGGACAGAAGAAATACCTGCTTACTGCTATTTTACTCAACAAAGTGTTTTCAGAAAAACGCTTGGGAAATATGCAAATCATGTCACGTAATGCAAAACTTCACCAGGATATCCTGGAAGTTTTGGAGAGTTCCAAGCTGTTGTGGGTTACACAGCCTACAGCAGGCTGTGAAATATATACAGTACTGGGAAAGAGATCACGTTAGCTGGATGAGCACAGGACAAGCAAAATTCATGTCAGAAGCTGAAGAGAGGAAGTCACGTCACACTTGAGCTGCACTGAACTTCCTCAGCACTTGGGGGAGCTGCCCTGACCAGTCCCTAAACTGCGTGTGCCTTCCCTAAAGCAGTTCACAAGTTCTTCACAGGAACAAAGACATGCTCGGACATTCCCTCGGGACTGGGCTCAAAGCAGTGGAATCCTCCTCCCTCCCCATTAATCCCTGCTGTACAACAAATGACATCTTGCAGGGTTAGGAAAAAAAATCTTTTTTACCAAACAAACCCTATTGTTTGTCTGATTCTTGCGGTTTCCTGATGCTGGCTGCACTTTGGGGACAGCAATAATTCTGGAGGCTCTAAATCAGCCACTGGGCTGGTTAAGAGGCTGCTCTTGTGAGGACACCAAGGAGCCTCTAACCACGTTCTAAAACAAAAACCCTTTCACACGCACATACATACACACACACACACACACAGAGACTCTTAAAAATCAAGAATGCTTTCATTAACACCCTGTGTGCCAGTCTGAATTCAAGCTCTCTCAAGGATTAGGAATGCCAGCACAATCCTGTGGCAAATGCTGGAAGCTACCCCAGAAAACTCCATGGTGCAAGTTACTACAGTAAACCTGTGAATTCAATACATCTAAATCCAAACTTTTAGTTATGCAATATTATAAACTGCAGAAACACTTTCCCTGGAAGTGCTCAAGGCCAGGCTGGACAGGGCTTGGAGCAACCTGGTCTAGTGGAAGGTGTCCCTGCCCCTGGCAGAGGGTTGGAATGAGATGACCTTCAAGGTCCTTTCCAATCCAAACCATTCTGCGATTCCATAATAAAATTTACTGCTTACTTTTCCTTGGGACTTGCTAAAAGCCCTAAGAAGATGGTATATGTTTTATAATCGGGGCAGCACAATAAATACTACTGAAATTAATAATGGTCCTGTTATGCTAACATTAGACTAATAAATAACTTGAGCCTGCTATTCCCCAGAACACAGTTATTTTTCTAAAGACTTGTTAGTTTTGGAAGCGCTTCCCGTGCACATTGTATTTTTCAGGAACAGAACAACACTTCTACCCTTTATTGGACGAGACAAAAAAATAACAAATGCTAAAGAGGTGTGGCCATTAAAAATCATGTGCTATCACTGGCGAGAGCTCCAGCAATCAAGCCAGCTCCCCAGGGTGCAAAGAAGAATTCTGTCTCTTATCCACTTCCCAGGTTATTCCAGATCCGAGTTCAGGCAGATCTAATATAAAACTGCACTTGATGACACATGCAGTTCTGAAGCCAAACCTTCTCTCTCTGCTACATCATAACTTTCCTTTCACAGCAAGGGGAAATTCCTGACTCTTCCCTGACATCTGGCATTCACTTGTCACCCACAGGTACTAAATCATCCCTATGGTCCCTTCCAACCCACACTGTTCTATGACCTTAAGAACTGGATTATTTTCTATAGAAAATTACTGCTATTAAAAAGAATATGTATATAGAGAATATAAAGAATACATAAAGAAAATCTCTTTCTGAAATCTTCACTTGACTAACGGGCTTATGCCTACCAGACAAAAATGGCTAAACTATTTCTAATCTAAGCTTAATAAAAGTCTGGAATAGGTTCAGAATTTGTGGTGATAATTTTAAATCTTGAACTTTATTCTGAACAATTTTGAGACATGTAAATGGTTTAAGCTTCATACCATACTAGAGAACTATAGAGCACCATGTATTGTTCACTCCCCTTTTAATGTATATCAAACTGTTATTCACTTCCAAATTTATCGATCTCCCCTCTTTTTTTTCCTCCTCTGGCCAGAGATTTTTTTCTCCTACAGCCTGTATACCTAATCCTAAGGTAGATTCTTTGTCCTGCTGAACTGAAATCAGATAAATACACCGACTAAAAGGCCCTTTCCAAGTTTCTCTTTCCCCATTAGCTGCCATAGCTCTCTCCCCAAGATACTCGTTTATTTACAAAGACCTGTGAATTACAGCCCTTGACAGGGAAGTATTGGTGCTTTAAATAATTGTTACTGGAGACACATCAGCCAGACAAAGAGGCAAAACCTTGGCTGGGATTGTTTTGCATACTCACAACAAGATTTACTTGCTGTGTCCTTTCTGGAGAGTGGTAAAACCTTGGAGCTGGGGATGTAAATAACTTGTCTGGCTGAGCTAAGTGCTGCTGTAGAATACATTTACTAAACGTTCTAGCAGAGGTTAGAAAATTGCTTGGAACGGCTTGGAAACTGCTCTTGAATTAGAGACAATTGGTACAGAAAAGAGTTTCATGATAATCAGAAAAATGCTTACATTCTGAATACTTAAGAGTGTTACCTGGTGAGGAAAAAAAAAAAAAAAGAGCAATTTAAAACTGATTTACTCACCTGACTGTAAGAGCCCATGCAGTGCATTTTTAGTGCATCATTCACAGCCAGGTGACACAGAAGAGAACAGCCTGGATGTGCCAGCACTTCCCCCTCCAGGTGGTTCTGTCACTCCTCACCTCTTGCCTTGTCTTCTGGCTCCCTCCCACCTGAGACAGCCTCGCCGTGGCCTTTTACTCCTTCTGCTGCACCTTCGAGTCCATCCCTTCTCCACCTGAACAAACACAGTTTATTTCCATTCTGCAAAGTGTCAGAATATCTACCGATTTCTCTACTTGTCTAGTGTGACTCAGGCAGGAAGTTGATTTTGGATGCACCAAAATATCTCCAAAGAAAGACTATAAATCACGGTGCTGCTTTTCCAGCTACAGAGCAGACAGCACTGAAGCCTTGTGGAACAAGTCTGTTCTCTCCTCACCTCAGCATGAAGGTTCGAGAGTTCCGGGTTATAATTTAGATAACTGGGGAAGTTCTGGAAAATTCCACTTTAGCACCCACTCTGAGGTGGATCTTTTCTTTCCTAAGTATGATGCGCACCTCTCTGCTCCTGCAGCCTGCCCCAAAATAGCGGGCACTCACCCAGGGGCTGCTGAGGGCCCCAAAATGGCGGGAACTGACTGAGGGGCTGCCCCAAAATGGCGGACTGACCTGATAGCCTGTCCCAAAATGGCGGGCACTGACCCAGGGGCTGCTGAGGGCCCCAAAACGGCGGGAACTGACCCAGGGGCTGCCCCAAAATGGCGGCAGCTGACCACAGGTCTGGCCCAAAGTGGCGAACTTCGTGGATAAAATGGATTTTAAAAGCAGCTGAGCCCACGCTGGATGCCAAGGGGGTAAACAGATACCTTTATATCTCCTTTTCCTTTTTATTTCTGTCTTTCTTTCATCATTTCTCCCCAAAATATTCCCAGACCAAAAAATTCCAGTCAACGCCTCAGGAAGTGCCTTGTTGTGTCCGGTTAAGTTAAAGTTTGTACAGTGCCCCCTACTTTGCCTGGATGTTGTTTTAAAATTTGCCAAGTACCTTATTCTACCTTAATGTTCTACAGTTTGCAAGTAAAAGCGTGTTACCGAATCTCCTGAGAATTGTTGTTTCTCCCACACGCTGCCCACAGTAAATCACATTACCTCCCCCTAAACCCGCCCAGGGACCCGGGCTTAACGATCTTTAATTCTAAATTGGTTCTTTAAAAAAAAAAAAAACCAACCCACCAAACCAAGCCCAGGTCTCACCGAAAGGAAATCTCATCTTGTAAATGGCTCTTGATAAAAAAACTGCTTTTTATCCCGCTCCGGTGTTCCCAGGTGAACCGTTCCTGGCTCCCCTGTGGCGTGAGGTACTTAAGAGCCGCGTGGATGTGGCACCTGGGGGACACGGTTTGGCGGTGGCCTTTGGGCAGTGCCGATCCTAGCACTGGAGGGCTTTTCCAACCTTAAAGACTCTATTTCCGTGACAAAAGAAACATACCTCGATGTATTCCCGGGGACCGCACCTTCAGGCTCCTCAGGGCAGGGGTGCCCTCTCCTGGGCACTGACTCTGCGCTTCCCATCCAGCTCTCCTCTACTCGGAAACCTCCCCAAACTGAGCTGGGGGGGGGGGAAAAGAAAAAAGAAAAAAAAAAGTAAAAAAAAAAATAAAATAATAAAAAAAAGGAAAAAAAAGGCCAATTACTTACAGCTGGCTCTAAAAAGTCTATGAAAGAGACTATCAGTGTTTGCGAAAGAAAAAAAAAATCAATGTTTTTTGGGGAAAAAACACTGTTAGAAAACACTGATAGAAGGAAGAAGTGGGTTTGGGGTGGCACAAAATATTTGGAAAGCTGCTAATTCCTGGAAGTGTGACAGAGCCCGGTGTGGATAACCCATCCCTCACCAAAATACTCTGCCCGGGCTGGGTGCAATTTCAGCAAAGAACTGCCTGAAATTTGGAAGCCAAGCACAGAAAAGTCTTAGCTAGAAACTGAAGGTTTTTTTCTAGAGCATTATATTAGGGCCTAAAATCAAAAAGGACCATGAGAACTGCATTTTTGTTCCCAGTACACTAGCACTATGGAAAATGTGGGGAGAAATATAATTCGGGAATGCTTTTTGATTATTGAAAACCTACATTTGTTTGTTTTAGACAGTGAAATACTTGTATCAAGTGTTGCTTACAAAATGAGCATCCTGAAAATAAATCTGAGAAGCCACTTCATAGTCATTACAAGAAAGCCCCAAGAAAAAGGTTGAGTAACTATCAAAAAATTGAATTTTAGAATGAAAAAAGCACATAAATGTATTAAGTGTTTTGAAGCTGCAATTCACCTTCCTCTGCAATAGAGTTTTCCCTTGGAATTCTGGATAAAAAAATTCTGAATAAAAACATGAGTTTCTACTGCAGCCAAGTTAAAAATCCCAGTTTTTCCTGATACAACAGGAAATCACTTGCTACATCAGCAGCACAACTGCAGATCATCTTAAAGCTCCCACATACAGACCCAGACAGAGGGGTGTGCGTACATATTTAGGCAGTAGAATGTACCTACTACACGAGTGTTTTCCAACTTCATTTAAAGCCCAGCCATGTCTCTCGCAGCAAGGAGGAGCTTTAGCCGCCCCCGGGATGTGCTATTAAAAGTGGTGACACCTCTTTGCATAAAAACAATGCTGGAATGCTCAGCGCCGAGGGATCCGTTCCCCTGAGCGCTCAGACTTGGCTAACGAAGGGATTAATTCACCCCAGGTATAACTGCAATAATAAGAGAAAAAGAGGCCAGACACGTTTCAAGGTCAGTGCAGGTTTGTTCTGAGCGCTGCAACTTTTTCCATCACCCAGAGCTTGTCTTACATGAAAATACAGCTGCTGTCTTTTTTCTGGTTTGGGTGGGGGTTTTTTTGTTTGCAAAATGCAGCAGGTTTCAGCAGTTAATTCTCCTGGGATAAAGGATAGAACTGGCTATTTCCTGGCTATATCAAATGCATATCACTGCTCCTCAACTCACTTTGCAGCATCTGGCAGAGGTCTGTCTGTCTTTCTAGGGAACAAAATCATTACAAATGTTTCCTAAACTGATGCTTTTAACCTGGACTTTACCAAAAAGTGTGTGTGTGGGGGGGGGGGTTATAGATTTGAGAGAAGACAAATGCTTTTGAGCATTTCTTCACCTAGCAAGTGTGAGGGATACACAGAAAACCCTAAAATATTGCGGATTTTTCAGAGAAACACCTACACATAGAATATAGGGTCTTCCCTCACATCTGGCATCTCCAGAATGTTTGGGTGCTTGAAAAATCCTGAGAGCAGAAAGCTGGAGTATGGAAGCTTAGCTAAATCTTATCTTTTTCTTCCTGAAAACTCAGAGTGCTGGGGTTTGGGTTAATCCTCATTAAGAGGAAGATGGGGAAATCAATGGAAACTAATCCATAATTCCTATCTCTGCCTTTACATGATGCTTTAAAGCAATTTCTCCCTTTGGATGGAAGTCAAAAAGATCCACGCAAAAAATTTAATACTCCAAGGAGGAGAAAAAAATTGGTGCTGTGCTTTTTCAACTTGCCAAGTTAAAGGAATGTTGTTGAGGACTCTCTTACATAAATGTTCCTCGACCTCTGAATGAACCAACAGGTCTTAAAAACTGCATTAGCCAAAGCAAATTCCCACAGCAAATGAAACATTCAGCCGAGTGCATCGGGTTTTTCTCGGAGCAGCACAAAGGAAACTCCAAATGGCAAGTTAGTGTTTCCTGTTTGGGTCTAAATGAGCTCAATAAACTCGTGGTGAGCAGCTGCCAGCATCTAGATAGTAAAACTGGAACACACCACACTAATCCTCCAGGAGGACGCAGCTAAAGCTGATGGGAGCAGTATTTAAGGCAAGCGTGGAATGCCTGAAGTCCAGATTGCTGCTAAAGTACCTTTTGCTCCCGAGGGAAGGCAGAGAGCACTAGGAAAACCATCCTACAGCCCCAGCCGGCAATCTCATTCCAGCTTCGTTCCCCACAGCATGGCCCAGAACCTCGTGCAGGCCATACCCCCCTGAACATCCATCACTGTGCTCTGCAAACCAAGGGGCTTTTAGCAGTGTTTGGCAAATAGATGTGCACCCTCAGGGCACGTTTCCTCTTTGGGTCTGGGGTAAAATATATATCGACATACAGTCTATTAAATAAAAAATAAAATGCAATGAAAACCAACCTGAATGCGGATATTATAAAAAAAATTTTGCAGTCATCCAGATACATCTATCCAGGGTGATGATTACACACCTCACGAGGTGAATTCATGTCACATGTAACATTAATGAGCTTCCCTGAGGAAATTCCTTAGAGCTAAACTGTCTTCTGCACTCAGGAAAACAGCTCTTAGAAGTCAGGTCCTGTTTCCAGGGTTCAGTGAACTACTGTGACATGCACCAGAAAAACCTGTCTTATGGCTGTGCTCACGGTGTGAAAGAGCACAAAAACTACAAATAAAACCTGCATTTCAAAATTCCTTAATTAGTTTTGCTTATACTCCCCTACACAAAGCTTTTATGGCATCAGAATCAGGCCTCTGACATGGCTTTGGGGTTGTATCCCCTCGGGTTTACAAAGGTATTCGGCATCCCAACATCACATTTCAGCAATAAAAGGTAACACGGGCTGCAAGCTTGGAACAGCAATTAAGTTTGTTCCCAAAACAAAGTAAAAAGTCTTCCTAAAATAAGCTGTGGGCATTTAATCAGTGATAAACTTGAGACAGCTCACACAGTTGACCTCTCAGAGCTTTTGTTCTGCAGCTTGAAGGATATTCTACACTTTGAGAGAGCAACTCTGAGGAGGGGTTTATTTGCATAACTTCCCTCCATAAACCAGAAATATTTAGATGGAAACAGGAAGAAAGGATTCTGCCAAGCATGCTGGAATGCTTATCCCTAAACCTTAAGTTACAGGGAAAAACAAGTGTTTGTTGTTAAATCACGTTAATATTTCTGGCAATCATTTTACACGTGGGGCAGGAGAAATGCTTCTTTGCCTTATGGCTTCCAAATCGTGGCATAATCAAAGGGATAAAAAAGAAACAATATAATTCTACTCTTTGGAGGGAAAAAATTGAGTAAAAGGAGAAAAGATAAATGAAAGCTTTATCCCACTGAAATCAGTCACAGAATTCCTGCTGGCAGCAGCAGGTTCAAGATTTCAGACTCTCTGGAAGGATGAATTTAGATTAATTCAGTCAAGTGAAGCATAAAAATCAACACACTTGGCCAAAATTTGGAAAAACTTTGGCCTGTAACAGGCTCAAGTGATGCTCATCCAAAGGGCAATGAGGAAAAACAAAAGCCATTCCAAACCCAGGGATTCTAAGAGCACAGGAACACAACAGCTTCTTTGCTCAGCCCACAAATCTGTGTCACTCCTGAGCCAGACTGTCCTTATTTGGGATCCAATCCTCGGGGAGCTGGCAGCACTGGAAAAGCAAACACACTTGGAGCTTCACTCCAAGCTCTCTCCAAGCTCTCCCATCCGTCAGCTGCACTCTGTTGCACTTAGACACACTCATGTCAACATCCCCACGCTGCTGCACTGGCAAACATTGGGAAATAACAAAACCACAGTGCTGGGAATGGGAATTACCTGCAGCACCAGCAGTTAGGGAATGGTTATGCTGCATTAAAGCAGTTCAAAGCATCATTGCTCCTATTTTCTCCTGACTCCCAGAATTAGCTCACTCCAAACAATCTGCATCAGAAAGGGGAAAGGCCACCATATATATTTTTAAAAAATTGCAGTCGTGTGCACAGTCAGTCTCTGGGGACTTATTGTAGAAACCATTACTCTAAAGGTCTCCAAACAAAGCTTATCTCTCAGCCTTCCAGCAACAGCATTTAAAGTGGAAAAATGCAAGCCTAGCAAAGCTTTTATTAGCAAATTAATCTGAGCTTGTTTATGCTGTAAAATACAAGAGAATTATTGGTTGCACTCTGGAGCAAGCACTTAGGCAGTAATGAAATAAAAACCATGAAATGCACAGCAATTACAGAGGAAAATCAGGGATTCTTGGCAAATGCCCCCACTTGGGAATCAATGGGCCTACTTCCAGTCCCTCCCTTCCCATTTTCCTTCTGACAAAGCTGCACCTTCTCCACTTACAAAAGCTGATAAGGACCTAGTGCTCAACTGTAATTCTGGCTGTGCATTAAAGAAATTCCTTAAAATAAGGAACAGAAATATTTCCAAACAGCTGAGTATTAAATACCTCTGCTTTACAGAACCCTCAAAAAAAGTATCTTGTTTCATTATATGGCCAGCTGGACTTTGACAAAATGCACCAAGAACCCGAGTTCTGAACTAAATCTAAACTAAAATCCCCTTTAGTTTAGTACCCACAAGGTTTAGGCTACATCGAAATGGAACCTCTAAAAAGTTCCTCTTTGCCAACTTTCAATTTCCAGCTCTTCCTCAAAGCAGAAATAACATGCCTAGAGAGTACTTGCACTATTTGTGTTTCATTAGATAAATTTCTAAGCAACTGATTTCCCCCAGTAAGAGACTTTATTGTTTATTTTCTAGACACAAGGGACTCAAAGTCAGGAGTTCTTCCAGAAGAATGTGTTCTCTGCCTGCAGCAGCTCCCATTAAGGTAAGTTTGAAAAGCCTCTGTCAGCAACCCCAGCAGGACAGGGGTCAGTTTTCTGTTCAAACTGAGGTGCTGAAAGAAAACCATTGCACTTAAGTGCTATGATACCTCCACTAGACCTCTCAAATCCAGTCCAGCCTTTCAACATTTCCAGGAAATCCATATTTAAAATATTATCCTATCAGAAAAAGTTCAGGGTTCAGTGTTTTCTAAGACACGCTCCCAAAGTGAAACGCACACACCGGGACAAATGGGAATCCATCACAGCCCTCCAGCAGGGAGGAGGACTAAAGCCAGGCAGATGATCTCCCCTGCTCAAGTTTAAGTATTTCCAAATTGACCATGTCGCTGCCTGAAGATTCCTGGCCCACCTCAGACCATCTTAAACACAAGAGTGGAAAAGCAACTCCTTGGCTTGCTTTCCTTGGCTGCAGAAGCACATTTCAAGTACAACCCAAAGATCTTCTCGCCCCCTCGCCCTGCCAAGGATCCATCATTCACCGTGGGTTTGCACTGTACCCCCCGGAGAACAACTGCACACCCCTCACCAACAGTCCCCAGCAAATTCCAAAGGCACAGTCAGGCCCAAACTGCTGGATCCAGCAGGCCTGGCTGATGCTGAAGGCTGGCATTTGTTTCCAATTAACAACACTCTCCCCTTCCTGCTACAGCGTGTGTGGTACCCATCGGCATTCCAAGTGGCTTTCCTACCTCTCTGGCCTCTCCATTTAATGCCTTGGAATTGTGAAGCCAAAAATCAAGCTTGTGACAGCACCCCAGGTTCTCAGCTGGACTCAGTAACAGGTACTAAACCCATCTTTTTTACCGCTCAGGTGTGCATACAAAAGTGTGGTTTCCCTGCAGGAAGACAGGGTGCTTAGCACAGGGAAATGTGTTTTCCTTCCTTACCCCTCAAGCCTAAAAAGACCAGGTATTATTAAGCCTCAGAGCACACAGTACAATACTCCACATTTTCATAAGGATTTGAGTATCAGGGGTTCTGGGGGCTGGAAGATTCCATTCCAAAGCCAAATTCCTGTAAATAAGGCACCAGCAGTCTTTTCCTTTCTTCTTTGAAACAGAACTAGGGGATTATATTAAGTAAAGCAGGTTAAAAAATGTTACTTACCATTACTCTAATTGCAAAGTTAATTAGGCAGTCAAATTATGAGCTGGCAGCTTGACAAATGAGTCCACGAAGCTCAGCTCCTTAAGTAAAGGAACATATGGATGTGTGCACTCACCTTAATCATGAACCAAGTTTATCCAGCCTCCTTACCCAGACCCAAAGCCCACAGCCCAGAGGATAGATGTGTGCACCAAAAATTGATCAAACCCATCACAATGCCATTGATGAAAAGCCCCAATCCCTTATTCTCAATTTTTTTTGGTGATCCCTCACACTTGAAAAACAGAGCGAGATCCCTCACTCAGGAGCAGCAGCTGCTGTTGCTTAGTGCTATACACTGAGCTTCAGAGGAACAAGGTATTTTATGTACTGCTAGAAATCAGATCAGTTAAGAGCAGGTAGTCTAATAATATATATCAAGGGAATAAAGGAGGAGCCCTGCTGCCAGCTGGCCACAGGGCTGCACAAACGGGGGGCTTTGCAAAGACAACAGGGGATTGTCCTGACACCTGCCTGCTTCCCTTTGGCATCCTCAGCCACAAAGAGCGAGCGAGTTCTGTCCAGTGTTTTCAAGCTCAGCACTGCTGGACACTGGCTTACTTCAAAGGGGCACGGCAGCGAGGTGGAAAAGCAGTGTACACTGTGAGGGACAGGCTGATTAAGTTCTGAAACAGCATCAGGATGAAAGATAGGGAAAGAAAAATGTTTTAATCCCATGCCTGGATTTTAGAACCTGGCAGCCCCACAGCTGACAGGGGCTGGAGCACCCCCCTGTGTACAGCAGCACATTGAACAGGACTTCAGCACTGTTTTCCTTTCCACAAACCGTGGAACTGTGCCAAAAACCACTCTTTGCCCTCGAAAAAAATTCTTGCACTTCAAGGAATCCACCCCAGTTAGTCATCTTTGGATGAAGAGTTTGGATTCCCCAGTAAAACACCTCCACAGAACAAGCAGGTGGACTGGCAAGGTACCAGGTTTCCTGGCAGACAGCAGCACTCCCCTCCAGCACCCTGGAAAAGCTGCTGGATCACAGTGACATCTCACTACCCAATGGGACACCGACCAACTCCTGTTTTCTGCAGTGTTTCAGGCTAATTAGAGGGAAGTCAGGAAGGGAATGGACCTCCTTTCTAAGACCTCAGTTCTTTTATTACCGCTGGGTTTGGGTCATTTACTTACCATTTCTTTGTTTTTAGCAAAGCCAGAACAGGAAGCAAAGGGAAGAGGTGGTGACACAGTTAAGCCAAACAGAGCTGTAGATCACGTTACTTAAATAGTATGGTACCATTCACAAAGAATACTGCACAGGCTTTCTCAAGAGTGTGTTTCTCAGACAACACAGCAACAGGTTTTTAATGATGTCTCCTGCAGAAACCCTCCTCAGCCCTTCAACAGCCAAGCTCATTCGACCTGAGACAGCTCAGTACATTTTCCTTTGATCATTAATCGTAAATTAAGTGTGCAGTATGTGCTCTCCCAGCTATACAAAGGGAATCCAGCCAGGATATTTCAGCAATTTTGAGTTCTGCCACAACAGAACCCATTCAGGGAACTTCACTCATTTCAGTTCCAAGTCCATGCTCCCTCCTAAGTACCTGCAGTATTCCAACAACCCTCTTCCAGGTTCAGGGTTCACCTCAGATAATGCTGTAAGAAATCCACCTCCAAATACACTTGCTGGAGGAACCTTATTCCCTTCTAACTGGCACTGGCAGATCTCAGGTGTGGTTTTGTAAGATAAAAGGGTGCAAACCAAACATAAATAAACGGAGAACTGCAAATCTAACACCATTTCCTGCACTGAACGTTTGGTGTCCTGGCAGAGCTGTATTTTCAGCGACCAGTTTCACGGCCCTCTTCGTTCTTCCCAAGAAGGCTCAGGTTATTTTTTTACTACAAAAAAAGCTGTATCTGTTTTCTGCGTGCCCTGTTCCCAGGCTGAGCCCTGCTGAGGAAGGCAGGGGACTTCCCTCAGAGCTGCACGGAGCACCAGCTCCCTCTACTGACACTTCCCCAGATAAAAAGTCACTCCGCCTTTGCACCGTCTTTTCCCAACACCTTCAGCTGAAGCAAAAGGACAATATGACATTCAGGGAAATCTGTGACACCCTTAAAAAATTTAGAAACCATTTCCTACCTGTGATGTAGACCTGGAAGGGGCTTTATGGGGAAACGTGCCCACAGGTAAAGGACAGCATTATTAGCACGATGACATCTGCACGTTTTCTCCACAACTGCTGGTTTTAGTCAGAAACTATCTCTGCCCTATATGCACAGTTTCACTAAGCTATCACCACAACTCAAATAAACGCTTCCAATTCTGCATTAAAAATTCTGCTCCCAACTTTTTGTTAGTTTACATCAAAATATTAACTTGGAATATTTTAAAAACTTAAATAAGTATTTCATGATCACTTTAACAAAAAAAAAAAAAAAAACAACCAACAAACCAAAACAACCTCTTTACCTTTAGGACCTTACAGTAAAAAAGAGGCAGGCTTATATGACTCACAGTTTTATTTAACACTCACCTGCACAGCTCCTTACAATAATTCTGGAGACAAACCTGGATTATTGGACTGTTGGAGTTGCAAAACAAGCGTCCCTGAAACAAAGTTCCCAGTGCAGACATATCTGTGCAGACCAATCCCTCTCTCTGGCCTTCAGGGCTTTATTTGGAAAATAAATACACAGCACATAAGTACATCTCCGTTAAACAGCACTGCTTCGCTCCTGAGACAGCTCTTCCTGCAGCTCAGGGATGTCATTTCCTAAAGCCGTACTTGGCAGCCAAGGCAGCCGCTATGTCCCTGTAAGGAGTATCCGAGTCGGATTTGGTCCCTGGAATGCGGCACAGGCGTCGGAAGGCAGGAGAGCGCAGCAGGAGGTTGTGGGAGAGCCCCACGAGGCTCGAGGACAGCCAGTACAGCGCCATGGACTGCAAGGAGACAAACACAGCTCGCTCAGCTCCCTGGAGGCCAGGAAAACACCAGCTTTAGGCAGCTCTTCCCAAACCACAGCCGTGGGCTACCCCCACTTATTGACAGGAATAACCCACCTGAAACACTCCTCTCACTAACAATAATGGCTGCTGTATCAGATGTAACTGTCTGTGTCTCTGAACTCTTCTAGGGAAAAGTGTCATCTACACTGAGGCTTGCAGTTCATAAATTAAGGCATGTTAAACTTGTTTCCACTTCTGTAGTTCAGACTATAAACTGATGAGAAAACAACCAGACACTTTGTTCTTTGCTAAGAACATTCTGCAACAGAACACCTGGTAAAAATGAGAAGTGTTTGAAGAAAACTCTGGAAAATTTCCCCACTTAAAACTAGGCTGGTTTCCTCTTTCACTTAACAATCCCTTGCCTATATCACTTCACATAAAGTTTTTCTCTTAGTTTTGAGACCACACAAAGGGCATTAACTTGCTCTGAACGTCCCTCCAAGCTTGCAGATTCTTCCTTCTTGGACAAAAATAATCCAAAGGCATGAAGAATTTAAACACACTCGCAGACAAAACATCTGATTTGTTTTCGAGCAAACAGCGGCAGAAATACGAACCCCCTGAGGCATCTGGGCTGCCTTTTAGGCACCACAACATACCAGTCCCGGGTGAAGAGCCACGAAAGTCGCCTCAGTACTTACGGAGGGCACTGTGGCAGCCACAGGGATCATCACCACTGACACCACACGGAACAAATTCGTCACAAGCTTCTGGAACCTGGACACTTGCATTTTTTTTTGCGAAGCAAACATCTGAAAGAGGAGACATTCACAGTTATAAACAGGTTCTTCTTGAAATGACCAAACTGAGGGTTAACTCCCAGAAAGCTCCTTAAAACATCATTCTAAGAGAAATTTCAGTGAAAACTGAGTTTTACTGAGGCTCAAGTAAATCTGAGACACGTCACATGACAATTTGTCAGCTCTGAACAAGACACCGACACATTCAAATGCACAGAACAAGAGGCTGTTTTTCAGTCCTGCCCAGCGCCTTTAAAGCAGTGATAACCTGGAACCACCCTTATAAGTGGGTAATACTGTCTAAAAATTCTGTGAAAAGAATTATCCCTTTGCAATCCCCCTGTTTATTCCACCAGCGTACCTCCACTATCAGCAGATTCACCAGACCCAGGGAAACGGGCAAAATCCACGTGGAATCAGGCGCCGTGAGGTCTGTAAACCACAGTGCTCCTCCTGATGAAAACTGCTCTTGAACTAGAAGAAGAATTTAAGGGAAGTACAGAATTCAGTAGGATTTGCTGCCTCAAGCGAGCCAGAACTGTCCCATGCATTGCAATGCAACCATACAACTTTCTAGGTACATTCTATCGGCGTGATAAATACTGCTAAAGCAAAAATTTTTGGTTTAACAGATTTTAACAATCTGCTATCAATGCAAGTAAACAGGTGGGAGATACAAGCTGAGACCCAGCTTAGCTCTCAACAGCCACTGACAGGTAAACCTGCAGTAAAAACTGCTCTGATTTCAACCACCACTTTACAAGTCAATGAGGAAAATAAGAATGCAGTAGCCTACAGTGTTTATTTCATGTTTTTGAAATAATTATGTTTTTATTAATAACTGTGTAAACATTGTTGTTTAGAAGAACAAACTATAAACTCACCTCTAAAATAAATATATATATGTTTTTTTTAATTTAAAAACCATCACACATCCACCTTGTCTATAGTATTTCACAAGGAAGAAAAACCATGCAGATTAATAGTGAGTGTTCTGTGGCATGGGTAATGTTACTTGCTAAATAGGATTATCAGACTATGTTAAGTTTAAAACTAAGTTCGAATTATATTAAGTTTAGAAACTCAGTAGCTGACTTTTTATATCAGCTTATACATCCAGTTCAAGAGATTGTGTTCTGTAACCAACAGAGGGCCTGTGAAAACAGTAAGTGAGTAAAAAGTGCCAATGAAAGGGTGTTTAACACCTTAATTAACACCTGTCCATGTTAATCACCTTCTGAGCCCAGGGCACCGACGCTGCAGTTGCGCAGAGCCAGGGACACGCAGACCCACACGGGGATCTGCACCCACACCAGCAAGGTGGCTTTGAAGGGGTGGCAGTTGTCCCGAATGTACAGCTCCGTAACAACCCTCCGCAGGTTCTTCTTGAAGTGGAACCTGGGAGAGAGAGAAACAACAGTTCAGAGCTTTAAAATAAACAAAGTCTGAAAGGGGAGAGAGAAAATAAATTATAGGAGGGGAAAGAAAATCTAAGCTTTGGGCACAATGGCAGAACCTTTGTGGGCTGTTCCCTGCTGCCACCCCTCCCTCTGGAATGGATTTGTGAGGTGTGTACAATCCCCTCATACCTGGCCACCTTTTCAGACCAGCCCAGCTGCTTTCCACGCACTGACACTTCATAGCGAAGGCGCTCGGCGAGTCCTTTAATCTCGGGCTGCAAGTTTTCCAGCTAGCTAAAGAAAAGGAGAAATGTTTGGGCAAAGTTGCAGGCAACAGCCACTTCCTCTTCCCTCCTCTGTTATTAATTATCCCAGTGTAATTAAAAACCTGTACAGACATTAACCATATTCATTGTCACTGTATAATATAACTGAACAACCGTACAGATATTACCCATATTAATTACCGCTGTGTAATTTAATACCTATACAGGTATTACACACGGCTGTGAAGGACAGAGCATCTCGTGAATGTCTAGCAGACAAGGCAAGTGAACACCTTTCATCTTTAAACAATATAACCATGCGTAAATAACACTGGCAAGCGTAACAGTGACAAGTATTTACAGTAACAATCTAAGATACTGCTACATGAAGATAAAATTTTATTAGATATTATAATATCTAACCCTTTTTAAGAAGAAAATTGTTTCTATCCCAGCTGAAATCGGGGCAGTTCTTAACAAGCATCTTTTTGCCTTTATTCAGGACTTGTGACCGGCTACTTTACTTAAAAAACCCACCCACTTCAATGCCACCTCAATGATAATTAACAAAAGTACTTTAGAAACTCCGGTGCAATAAAATAATTGTTACGTTTATTCCTCGCTCCCTTCAGCCCCTCCCTCTACAGCTTCCCCCGCCCCTCAGAGCCCTCCCAAACCCAAAAAACCCAAACTCGCGAGGCCCGGTGCAATAAACGAATTGTTATTAAGACGCTTGTTGCTCGCCCCCAGCGCCCCCACCTTGGCGAGCAGCCGCCCCTGGTGCGCGGCCAGCGGGAGGGTGACTGCGGTTCGCAGCAGGGCGGCCCCGCCGGCGATGGCGGCCCACCAGGGCAGCCCGGTGGCCGCCTGCAGCGCCGCCAGCCCGCCCTCGGCCCAGTGCACGGGCTCGGAGCTCGCCGCCCACTCGTACCAGCCACCGTTCCCTCCGCGACCGACCGCTCCCGTCCCAGCTCCCGCCGCTGCCGCCGCCAGCGCCCGCGGGGCCCGCGCCAGCCGCCACATGGCCACCCACCCACCCACTCACACAATGTGCGCGTGCGCCGCCCACCCGGGGGCGGGGCGCGCGAGGCCGCGGCCGCCATGGCGGCTGAGGGCAAAGGGAAGGGCAGCCCCGGCCGGTGTGCCCCCACCCTCCCCGGTCCTGACCGACACCGCCCCTCTCGCCCTTTGTACCCCTTTACTCCCTGTCCTGGCACCGCAATTCCCCACGAGTCCCTCACCGGCTACCCTGCAGGCCCCTTCACGTACTGAAAGGTGCGGCGAGGCTCTCCAGGCTGAACAGCCCCAGCTTTCTCAGCCTGGGATCTGTATTCACGAGCGATTAATCATTCATGAGCAATTATTTGTTCCACATCAGCGGTGTTCTCCTGCCCAGCCAGGTTCTGAACTGTGTCTCCTCCCCTCTTGTGTGGCAAGGAGAGGCCTAAATACCTCTGCACCATGTTTTCCTCCCTGGGTCTGTTCCCTTTTCTCAAATAAAAGAGCACCTGCCAGCTCCCAGAAGAGCATGTTCCTTGGTTTATTGGACACATAAAAAGCATTATACTGTGAAAGAATTAAAAAATTATATCTGAGGGGAAAAAAAAAAAAAGTCCAGTTCCCTCCACCCAGGATTTCCCATTGTCCAGCCACAGTGGTGGCATCAAGCCTGTGGTGGCCCAAGTATGGACTGAGCTGTCAGGTTACCAAATCCTCTGGAATTCATGGTCTTAATCAATAATGAGTACTGGTTCTGAGTAGGATTAATAATCTCAAACAGCACTAAAGCCTTAAGCAAATGACGTAGCAGAAAGCTGCCGCTCACACAGCAGAGGGGAAGGACACAGTACGACCACAGTAAGGTGAGAGATGGAGTTTCAATCCTTTTCCTGAGCAGTTCTTCATTTCAGGATCCAGGTTGCTCCCACCAGATCTTCACAGGCTGTATTTGCAGCTGGAAAAAGGGGCTTGCTTTTATTTAGAGCACCAAAGGGACATGGGTATGTACAAGGCATGTGCCCATTTCAAATACCACAGTATGTAAAAGGCAACAGGGGTGTTTTTTCTGGCTTTCAAAGGAGCACCATAATAAAACCAAATAGTACTTCTTTAATTTGAGTTGTACATCTCCTTTAAAGACTAAGTGCAGGAACTGCAGGGGGATCTTGACTGGATCTGTGGCACTGCTCACCCAGTCTGGCCTCAAAGGACCCCCCCAGCCTTTACCTCCCAGTACTGCTGTTCACAGGTGACAGCTCCTGACAGTGGCTGTAAGGGAATTCCCACTTGGACTTTTCCAAATAAACCTTCACAGGGCTTATTCTGGAATAAACCCGCCTTTGGAGCTTTCAGGAGGGAAGCTCTCATTTCAAGCAGAGAAGTTATGTATTCTCAAAACAATCCAACACACATTTATTTGGGAAAAGCCCTCTGATAATGCCTGGTGGTTTTTTTTTTTTGTTTTCATAATGTACTTAAATTACACAAGTAGAAAAGTTATGCTTATTAATAGTTTAATGTATGAAGGAAACATCCAGATTTCTGAATATGAAGGTACATATCTCACATTAATTTAAGTCTACATAAAGTAGAGCCTCTATAACTGACATATTGAAATTTACTTTCTGCTTAGCCATTTGTTATGTAAACAATTGTACATTTATTTGCCATTCTAAAACTTCAGGATCAAGTTTACATAATTTTGCTAAATTTCTGTGTTTGCTCAGAAGCAGTTTACAGTACTAAAACCAACCAGCCAAAGAACAGCTTCAACAGAAAGTTATGTCAGAAAAAAAAAAAAAAGAGGAGGAAAGGAAAGAAGAAAGTCTAACTAAGTTGAAACATATGATGGTGGGGAATGGGTGGTCACAATGTTCACAGAAAAAGGTCAGTTAGTAAGTTCTTCTGCAAAAAGCCTACACACTTCAGTCAAGCACATCAGTAGAATGATCTGGGAGCACATAAACTGTTTCTGCCATTTGTGGTTTCCTCTGCAAAACAAGGAATCTCAAGGCCAGCACGTTGATCCCACTCAGCCCAGTTGGTTCATATGCACACTGTTCATGTGAGGTGTCCAAGTTCCAGTCCACACCTGCAAGAGACAGCCGCGTTAACTCCGCGCTCGGGGCTGCTCAGAGCAGGGCACGAGTCCCGGGGCACTGCGGGGCCCAGGGGGACTAACAGGACCCTCTGCATGTGCCGAGGTACCTGCAAGGCCAGTGCCCGAATCCCTCCAGTCCCAGAGCAAGAGACTCACCCTCCTCTTCCAGTTCACACTTGGTATCAATCAGTAACTTGTGTTCTGGCACTTTGTCTCCCCCCAACGCCCTCAGCTCTGGGGAAACCCAAGTCTAACCAGGTAAAGCTTTTTTGGGGGGACAAGGTTTCCTCACTGAACCGGAAACCACCTTGTTGTGGTCAGGAGCCACTTCAGAGCGATACCCGAGCTGTGGCCAAACCCCCTCTTCCACACACCTGTGGTCTGCCAGAGCTGAGAGCCCTTCCCTGGAGCTTGGATCATTCCCAAGCAAATTAAGCCCAGAAACATCTTTATTTAGTAACAGTGTAACAGAGCTCAGTGTCTAATTAAACATAAGCACAGGATACAATCTGACAAGAGCTACTGATGTTCCATTAGAGTATTAGTTGCTGAGTAGGAACAAGAGGTTTAGGAGAATTAAACCCTCTGCCTAAATTATATATAGTGGGCAAGCCAGGCAAGATCAGGGCAGCAAAGAGCTACTTACCCCCTTCCTACAGAGCTACTTGAGTCCCTTCCTACGAGCACTAACACAGTCAGGAGTCCAACAACAACCCCCTGCTGTTTTCCATTTTTGGGAAGGGAAAGCTTAACTAACAGCAAAAATAAATGGCTTTTCCTATCAAATTTTGCCCCAAAATTTGTTTTCCCAAATGCAGAACAGCACCGACAGGAATCGTGATGGTTTGGGGTAAAAAACACCGTGTGAAAAAAGGGAACAATTACCGTCTGAGGCCCGTTGTTCTCCGTGGAATTTGAAACCATCTTTATCAGCGAGTTCCAAGATGGGTCAGCAGCGTGAGGCCCGTTAAAGATGGGGCCTCCAGTACCATCTGTGATGGGGGCTACGGGAGGAATCATGGCGTTCCCATACACAGAAAAAGGCATTCCCTGAGGGCAAGGAAAAGCAACAGTCAGGACGTTTTCGTGGCCGCTGCTACCCCTGCACAGACAGAAGCACTAAGAGGGCTTTGTGCTGCCTTCTCAGGCCCAAGGTCATTACCCCGACTTTTGGGAAGTCCATGTATCCTGCAGGAACGGGCTGATGGAATGTACCGGAGGGCGTGACGATTCCCGTGCTGTCCCTCTCCATGGCTTGGTGTGAGAACACGCCCGGGTCAGACATGGGCCGGTGGATCATGTGGCTCCCCATCCCGCTGTGACACCAGTCCACTTTATCTGACGGCACAGAGACACGGCGTTATCCACACCACACCCCCTCCTCCTGCCCTTCCCAGCCTCAGCCGTGCCCTGTGCTCAGCCTGCAGCTCCTGCACCCACTAAAACTGTGGCCCGTGTGGCAGGGGAGCCCCACAGCCGGCCCCTGCAGCCCCCAGGCCAGAGCCCTGCGGCGGGGCCAGGAGCTGGGAACAGTTACCTGTGAGCAGAGCGCTGCCCCTGCCATTCTCCTCCAACTCAACAGCAAAGCTGGCTTTTGGGCTAACTCCCCCTCCTCCAAAAACCTCAATGCCTTGTGCCTTTGGTGCTGTGGAAAGGGTATATGTATGCTGTGAAGACTATTTGCCCCACTTCATTCCCATTAATTCCATTCTTCCATTAATTACTGAATATTCGAAGAGACAGAGGAGTCCTTTTGCAAAGCAAAACCCAAAATGACCAGCTCCAGACTTGTGCTCGTGTACTAATTACGTGAATTCACCAGGGGGAACTTGGTAGCAGTGCTACAGTTCAAACCTCAGACATTCAAAAAGCCGTTTTCAAAACAAAACTGTAAGGAAATTATATTTGGAGAAGGGATACAAAAACATTTCTGAGGCATCCTAATAGTTAAGAAAAGCCAATCCTGTTGTGAACTGAAAATCAAATATTCAAGTAACTGAAAAAAGTAGAAAGCAAGAAGCATTCTGAAGGCCAAGATAGGCACAAGGACAACTTTTACAGCCAGACAATGGAAACAAATATTCAATTTCTAAAGCCTTACCTGGGAACAGACCACTAGTGAAGTACAGTGGGGGTTGTATTTGGGGATAAACCCCAGGGCAGTCACTCAGTTAAAACCTTAAGCTGTCTGGACTCAGTCAAGCAGCAGAACAGGTTGCTCAGAGGGGCTGAGCAGTTCCCATTGCCATCCCTGCAGGTTCTCCCGGGCAGATTGGATAAAGCCCTGAGCAGCCTTGTCCAGCCTCATGGCAAACCCCGTTCTGTGCGGGAGGCTGACAGGACCTCCAGAGGTCCAATCCAACATGGTCTCATGATTCACACCTCCCCCACAGAAACTAAAAATCCACCTCAAAAACCCCCCATCAACATGACAAAAATTCATCAGTCTCCTCTAAGTTGCATCCGAGACTCCTGGTGAGTTTGCTGAAGTTATTAATAAATTATGAAACACTACATTCTATGTGACTCCAGGACAGCCGAGAGCTTGTGCTGGTAAAATGCAAGTGGCTGGAAAAAACAAAACTCAAATGTAGAACATTACCACTTTATAAAAGCACCATCCTCAGCACACAAAGCTCTCTCTTGGCTACAAATGAAATACTATCTCCTACTGTACAAAGCATCTCTTTCATCAACAGAAAAACCCCAGACAGTTATCCTAAGACACCTTAATTTCCCCTCTTCCTAAATCCAATCATCCTCACCCACTTCACCCTTGTAAACCCTGTGGGTTTATTTTTCCTGTTACTTCTTACTTGGAGTACCAGATCTTTGCAGCCAGGGCATTTCAGAACTGTTTTCTGAGACCTCATTAAAACACAACTAACTGGCCAGGAGGGCAAACAGAGGTCCCTGCTCCAAATCCC